TCTCCAGGGAGAGGGTGGCCCCAGAAGATCTCCCAGGAAAGGGTAGACCAGGCAGGTGTCCAGGGAGAGTGTGGACTCCCAGGAGAAGGTAAATCAGGTGGTTCTGCAGGTGAGGGAGGTGGGTCAGTAGGGTCTCCAGGGGAGGGTAGGCCAGTGTGTGTCCAGCATGGATGGACCAGGTGAGCCTTTTCCTATTTCAGTAAATCCCACCTTCCTCTGCCTTCCTTTGAGTCTCTGCCAAATGCTGGAGATGGCAGTCAACCTCCCTTGCTAAAGCAAGTTCTTACAGGGGTGGAAGGTTTTCCCCAAACCTGTCGGGATCCCCAGCTAAGTCAGAATATCAAACTGAGATGGGTGAATAGGGCACAAACATACCAATGTATTTAATGGCAGTTTGAGGGACATGGGAGGCTTCAGAAATGAAGGTCCACAGAAACAGGGAAGGGATATTTTTATGCTCAGAGTGAGGAAGAGAGGACAGTCTGCAGTGCTGGGAGTGGACACAGGGTGTCCGACCTCATGAGAGTGAAAGCGAAGCCTGTGTATTCAGATTCTCCTGTGTCCCCAGAGACAAGGAGGCTCCGTCCCTCCAGATACAGGGAGGACCCTCTTACCTGAAGTTCCCATGACCTGGTTTAGGCAAAAGGCAGAGAATTGGTTTCTTTCTCTTTTTTGCAGTTTTTTGGCCAGAGCTGGCTTTGAACCCACCACCTCTGGCATATGGGGCTGGCGCCCTACTCCTTTGAGCCACAGGCGCCAACAGGCAGAGAATTCTTTTAAGGTTCTATGACCTACCTCAGTGGAGAAGGGCAGGGATGCCTTCCTGAATCTCCAGTTTTCTCAAATGTCTTCTGCATTCCCAAATTCCTGCCACGTCCGAGTGCTATAATCTGGGGACGTGTGTTGTGCGTCCCGGCACTCTGAGTGTGCCGCCTTCGCCCGTCCGCCATTCCCATGTGTCACGGTCATTTCTGCAGGACACCCCTCCGTATGGAGAAGGAGCAAGTGAGGAGGCCCAGGCTGGGGAAGAGACAGGAAAGGGGTGAAGGGAGGATTCCTGAGGACGTGGTAATGTCCTGGGGTCACCTGCAGGACAGGGGAGAGTCAAGCAGCTCCCAGCCTCCACTTTACCTGCCAGAGTTGGTTGGGAACAGAGGAATTTCTGAACCCCGGGGGCCTCTCCTTGCAGACCTGCCGGCCGCAGACCCGGAGCCCAGTCTAAATGTCAAGTTTGACCCAAGGAACATGACATTGGCCTGGGACTGCCAGGAGAACACCACCAGCAGCAAGTGCTTGCTGGTTGCCAAAGAGGAGGAGCGTGTGGTGAAGAAGGTGAGGTGACTTTCCCCAGGCTCAGTGGCTCTTTTGCACAGCCCTCCTCTGGTTTAAATCAGGACAACAACAGAAACAAATTAAAAGCATGTGTAGGTCTCAGTGTCTGTGGCTCAAGCAGCTAAGGCACCAGCCACATACACCCGAGCTGCTAGGTTTGAATCCAGCCCGGGCCCACGAAACAATGACGGCTGCAACCAAAAAATAGCCGAGCGTTGTGGCGAGTGCCTGTAGTCCCAGCTACTTGGGAGGCAGAGGCAGGAGACTCGCTTGAGCCCAGGAGTTGGAGGTTGCTGTGAGCTGTGATGCCACGGCACTCTACCCAGGGGGATAGCTTGAGGCTCTGTCTCAAAATAAATAAATAAAAGCATATGTATGATATTTGTAGAAATTCTGGGTAGACCAGAAAAGCACTGGGTCCTGTGCAAAGGGTGGCCAGAGGCCTGATTCCCTGGGGTGTGAGTGAATTTTATCCTAAGAGGAAAAAGATCTGGGTGCCTGCACGGGGGACGTGAGCCTTAGTCTGCGGAGCAAGGAAAGGAGCCATGTGGAGTGGGTGGGTCGGCTGTGTCACTGTGTCCCTGCCTCAGCCCCCACCACCCCTGCCATGGACTCAGTGTCAGGGTTTAGCGACACAGTGACATCCAGTGCCTTTCTCTCTCCCAGACAGCCCTGTGAAATTCTGGCTCCCTGATTTGTCTTTCTTATGTTTCAAGATGACCACCTTTCCTTGTTCTCTTATTCCTCTAAATCAGGGGTTCTCAATCTTTCTAAGGTTGAGGAAGGGACAGGGGAGAGGACAGACCAGGACAGTCTCCAGGGAGAGAGTGGCCCAGGAAGGTCTCCAGGGAGAGGGTGGCCCAGTGGTTCTCTACCCTCTCCCCCTCCCTTTCTCCAGGAGACCCTCCTGGGCCACCCTCTCCCTGGAGACTGTCCTGGTCTACCCCCTCCTCTCTCCCTCCCTCAACCTTAGGAAGATTGAGAACCAGGGTTAGGGAGTGGGAGGGAGACAGAGAGAATAGGAGAGGAGAGAGAGGGAAAGATAGAAGATGGATAGATATTTGTAGGTAAATAGATGATAGATACCAGAGAGATTACAGAGAGGAGGGGTGAAAGTGAAGGATTAGACAGACCATTGATAGATTACAGATTCAGTAGACAGATGACAGTAAGTGGATGGATTAGACAGATAAATAGACGACAGATAGATGATAGTGGATAGATGATAGGTTAGATGGATGGTGGACGGATTATCCATTCAACAGATAGATGATAGATAGATCAATAGATGATAGATGAGAGAGAGAGATGATAGATTAGAGAGATCAGTATAGATCAATAGATAGATGAAACTGGGTAGATGATAGATTAGATGGATATAGATAGATTATAGATTCAACAGATAGATGATAATGGATAGATGATAGATTATGTGTGGATAGATTATTCAACAGATAGTAAATAGATGGTAGATTAGATGATTGACAGATTTAATAGATAGATGATAGGTAGATGACAGATTAAATATATAAAATGTATAGATTATAGATTCAATAGATAAATAATGAACAGATAATAATAGATAGATGGATAGATAAATAGACAGATAGATGGTGGATAGATAGATGATGGTAGATAGATAGAAGATAGATAGATAGATAGATAGATAGATAGATAGATAGAGGATAGATGGATGGATAGATAGATAGATACATAGATAGATAGATGAGATGGATGCATAGATAGATAGATACATACATACATACATAGACAGATAGATGAGATGGATGCATAGATAGATAGATAGATGGTAGATAGATGGATACATGATGGTAGATACAAGATACATAGATAGACTGAAGGATAGATGGATGAATGGATAGATAGATAGATAGATAGATAGATAGA